TGAGGCAGACCTTGCAGCTCCTCAGAGAAAGCAGCCTTGGTCCTGTCAATGCTGACCACATCCTGCTTGTTACCGCAAAAGATCCGACGGGTTATGAGTGGTACGCGAGAGTACTTTGAACAGCTCTTCATATGGTGATTCCAGCGGTTTGCAAACACGATCATTCCGAACAAAACAAGGAAATGCCGGAAATGCTTCACAGCCACGTAAATGGCATGTGGTTCACGGCCAAAGGTACTGTGGCGAGTGTCAGCCGGCAGCAGTTTTTTGGAGAAAAAGACCAGTGGTCGAGTCGAACCAGCAAGGTGTTGCTGAAGGACTGAACCTACGGCTACGGTCAAAGCATCTACCGTCAGGGACAGCTGAGCTTCGGGAGCGAGATGCGTGAGTAAGATGGCGTCGACAAGTGAATTCTTGGTTCTCTCAAAAGCAGTCATTGCGTCACCAGTTAGCTCGAGGGGACTTTTGGGACCAGAAAGCATGTTGGTGAGCGGCAGCATAAGGCCAGCACAGTTCGGTAGGAACTGGCGATAAAAGTTGATCATGCCGAGGAATCGCTGCAATTGATGCTTGGAGATTGGTGGAGGAAAATCACGGCTAATAAGCCAGAAATGACCATTCCAGTCTCCCTTGTCTTTGCTAGTAGTAAGATTCTGCCTAAATTACGAAATGCTTCAACGTCGGAGGACAAGGGACACAGACCTTCAGGGTCGACATGATGGCCAAGGAATTCGTGCTAAGACACACCCAGCACGCACTTGGAGGGGTTGATGATAACGCTAAACTTGTCGAGACGTTCAAACACCCAAGCTAGTTGCTCTTTGTGTTCTTCCGCATTCCGGCTGGCCACCAAGAGGTCATCGATGTAGGCGCACACAAACGGTAGGCCACGTAAGACTTGGTCAGTGAAACTCTGGAACGTTTATGCGGAATTACGAAGACCGAAGGGTGTGCGGATGAATTCAAAGAGGTCGAAAAGTGTAGTGACGGCAGTTTTTGGGGTATCCTCAGGGGCGACAGGAATCTGATGAAAGGCGCGCACCAGGGCAACCTTCGAGAAGACCGTTTTGCCAAAAGGAGCTCCGAAGAAGTCCTGAAGATTTGGCACAGGGTGTTGATCAGGAATGGTGGCATTATTGACGGGACGATAATCGCCGCAGAGTCTCCAGTCACCCGATGTCGCCTTGGGCACCATGTGAAGAGGGGACGCCCAAGGACTTTCGGACGGTCTGATAATGCCCAGTTGCAGCATATGCCCAAACTCTGCCTTCGCGGCCTGCAGGCGGGCAGACGTTAGTCGTCTAAGCCGAACGAACGCAGGAGGACCTGGTGTGTGGATGTGATGTACAACATTATGCTGGACCTCGCCACTGTGAAACTGCGGGTGTTGAAGCAACAGCTCCCCATAGGGACAATCAATGCATGTATCCAGAAAAAATAAGTTGCTGGGGTAGTAAAGGGAGTTAATCCACGAACAGACAGACCATTTGCGCGGCCATGGATACGAGAACGTCGACAGCCAACAAGGAGATCGAACTCGACAAGAAAATTCGAGCCGGGAATTGGATGAGGGACATCAGCAATTACGAAGATCCAGGGGAACGATCGGCGAAGGGCAATGTCTAGGGTGAGGGGCAGGATCCCAAAAGTGAGAATGGGGGAGCAGTTGGCAGTTTAGAGATGAAGACCAGAGCTGGGGGAACGACAG